TGGACTCCGAAACCTGTGTGATTTGTGAATGGATCAGCAGATCCATCTGTGTAGATGTGGCACCAATTTGGCCAGTTTTGATGTATGTAGGCTAGTGAGGTGGATTTAGCTATGTTAGGGTCAGTTTGTTTGTTTATTGTTTTGGCTAGGGAAGTGTCTATTTTGGGGATTTTAAGTTTTGGGGTGAATACGTTGGATTTTTTGCAGTTTTGTTGTAGGTTCCCTATTTGGTGTTCGTTGCGGTAGTTTATAATACGTTGGGAAATTGGAGTGAGTAGAGGGTGTTTCCTAGTTAGTGCCTGGTTTTTGGGACGTATGTTTAGGTTTAGGAGATTTTGTAGAAGAGGGTTTGATTGAGAAGCTGCCCAGAAGTTTAGTGTTAAGTGTTGCCTACGTAGGTTTAGCGGCATTTCTCCTGTGAGGGCCTGAAGTGACGTAAGGGAGGTGCCTTGTTGGGTACGTGTGACTAATTTGAGGGCTTGGTATTGGATTGAATCTAGTTTTTTGGTTAATGTTTCGTTTAAGGTATCGTATATGGCACAGCCGTAGTCTAGTTTGGATCTGATTAGGGATGTATAGAGGCTGAGGAGGGTATCTTTAGAGGCACCCCAGTTGGAGCCGGTTAGACATCTTAGTGTGTTTAAATCTTTGCTACATCTTGTGGTAAGGTTTTGGACGTGGGCATCCCAGGAGAGATGTTCGTCGAATATTAGTCCTAAGAATTTAGTTTGTTTCTGAAATTGGATTGGTTTGTTGTTTAGTTTAAGGGTGGGGGTGGCCCGTGTCATATTTTTATGTTTAAATACTATTCCTGTGGTTTTTTCAGTGTTTAGGGAGAACCCCCATTTATCGGCCCATTGTAGTATTTTGTTTAGTGATTTCTGGAGTAAGTCCTGGGATGTTAAAATACTTTTAGAACGGATCCAGAGGGCTCCGTCATCTGCAAATTTGGAAGTATTTATTTTAGGGGATAAGCCATCAAAGAGATCGTTTATCATTATGTTGAATAGTGTGGGGCTAAGAATGCTGCCTTGGGGTGTGCCGTTTTCTAGTGGACACTGGTCCGACAAGGCCTGGTCTATACCCACTGTGATTTTACGGTTTTTAAGGAAACTTTGGATGTAGTTTATGATTTGACCTTTTAGTCCTATTTTTTTAAGTTTTTGGATTAGCCCGTTGTGCCATACCATATCGAAGGCTTTGGAAAAGTCCAGAAAGATGCCTGTAGTATATTGTTTATTTAGTTGTCCTGTTTTAATATCCTGTTCTAGACGTGCTAGGTTATCTAGGGTTGAGCGGCCGGGAGTAAAACCGCTTTGGTCTGAATTAATTATATTATTTTGGGTTAAGTAGTGTTGGAGTCTATTTTTTGCCATGGATTCCATTACTTTGCATAGGTTAGAGGTGAGCGATATTGGCCTATAGGAGTTGGCTTGGTTGGCTGGTTTACCGGGTTTAGGGATGGGGATAATGAGAGCTTCTTTCCAAGGATTTGGAACCTGGCCGTTTAGATAAATTAGATTATAGAGTTTTAGTAGTGACTGGAGTAGTTTGGGCGGGAGTTTTTTGATTATTTGGTAGGAAGTTAAGTCTAGACCTGGGGCTGTTCCTTTTTTCCTATTTTGAAGTACGTGGTTTAGTTCTTCTATTGTGTACGGTTGGTTTATTTCTAGGTTGTTATTGTTTGGTTCTTGGATAGGTTTGGTTTCTGCCTGGAGTTTTTGTTTGAATTTATGGCTGAAGTTGTTATTGCTACTTATTGCCGAAAAGTGGTTTGCTAGGTTATTTGCTTTTTCGCTGGGAGTATTTGAGTTGTTTATGTTAGGCGTTTTTTTTTGTTTTTTTAAGCCTCTGACGGCGTGGATTTTGCGCCAGACTGTTCTGGCATCTGTGCGATTATTTAGTCCCTCGCAGAATTTTTTCCAGTCTCTGGTTTTTGCTATTTTGACTAGTGTTTGGACTTGGTGGTTTAGTTGGTGAGCTACCGGTATGTGATTATGGTCGCGTTTGGCTTTATTGAAGGCTGATTTACGTTTTTTCCTAGTTTGTTCTATTTCCTCGTTCCACCAAGGTACCGAGGGCCTACCTGATTTATTTGGTTTTTTGAAAGGGATTGCGCTTTTGGCTGTGTTAATTATGAAGTTGGTTAAGTTCTGGCAGTATATTTCTGGGTCATTATTTTCTATGTTTTGTAGGTTTACTTGATTGCAAATATCTTGGAATTTGTCCCAGTTAGCTTTATTGTAATTGAATTTGGGCTCTGAGCTTTCAGTTTGGTGGGGGACGTTAGTATTTCCTATGGTTATATTTATTGGGAAGTGGTCACTTCCTAGGGGGGCGTCGTGAACTTCCCATTGTGTGCTTTGAGCTAGATCTGCTGTGCAGATTGTTAGGTCGATAGCCGACATGTTGTTATTGCTTTTATCGTATCTAGTGGGTTGGTTATTATTTAGAAGTACTAGATCGTTGGCCTCTATCCATTCTGAAATTAGTTTGCCGTGGTTATCTAGTTTATCCCCCGTGCCCCAGGAGGGGTGGTGGGCGTTAAAGTCTCCTAAGAAGATGGATGATTTGGTGCTTAGTTGTTTGAGAGTATTTAGATCCTCCGGTTGGATTTTTTGTTGTAGCCAGTGGTAGATATTTACGATGTTTATTTTTTTGTTTTTTAAGGTGACTTGGACGCCATTGGCTTCTAGGTTTGGGGTATTGACTAAGATTTCTTCGTAGTTTATGTCCTCACGGATAAGTATAATTAGGCCTCCCGATGCTCTTAGTGTTTTTGATTTAGGTCGGTCTAGTCTGACTGTGTTATAGTTTGGAAGGTTAAATTTGGATTTGCTTGAAAATTTGGTTTCCTGGATACACGCTACATGTGGTCCCTGTTTAAGTTTAAATCTAGCTTTAAGTTCGTGGCTGTGGGAGTTAAGCCCGTCCGCATTCCACTGGAAGATATTTAGGCCTGTCATTATTTGGGCTTTTAGTGTTTGGAGATTATGATTTTGGTTTAGGTTTTAATTTATAGTCCTGCGGTAGCTAGGGTGTAGCTTGCGTAGAATTCTGGGTAGGTTTGGGTTGTAAGATTTAGTCTACGAGCTACTTGGTGTAGGTTAGTGGCTTTAATGTCTGGTTTGATTTCTTTCAGCAGGTAGAGTAGAAGGATTGTGAAGTTATTTAGTTGGGTATTTAAGGGTGTTTGGGGTTCAGGTTGAGTTTGAGGTTTGCGTTTGCGGTTTTTGAGATTTTTGGGGGCCGACCGTGTTATATCATTTATGTTAATCTGAGTTTCGGTTTGGGAGTCATCTAAGTTAATTAGATTAGTGTCCTCACTATCCATGGGGGTTGTTTGAGTGTTTGGTTGTGTCGTGCTGGGTATTTCAATGGGTTGAGTTATGTTTGTGTTTTCGGGTGTTGCTTGCTCGTGTCCGATTGTTGTTGCCCTGGTGGCTGTGGATTGTATGGTGTTTGGGTGGGATATGGCGGGTATGGTGAGTTTTGGTTTGCGTGCGGGAGTAGATGCAAGGACTGGTTTGGGTGTGGCGAATGTTGGCGGGTAGTGTGGGGTTTGGGTGTTTGTGGCTGTTGCGTGTGGTATTTTCATGGGGACGCCGTCAAACGGGCTCTGTAGGTGTGGTTCGTTGTTTGGTTGTGGTGTGGGTAGCAAGGGTGTTCTTGGATGCTGTGTCAGTTTTCGTGTTTGTAATTTGGCCGAGTCGATGTCTATGTGTCTGTTGGCCCGGTAGGTGAGGGTGTGTTTGTGGGGGCATTTGTTGGATAGTGAGGAGTGATTGGTTGTTTTGCAGTGAATGCACCAGGGAGTGCAGGATCCTGGACATTGAGGTTGAGCGCAAGTTCTACATTTAGTTTTTTGATATTTACAGTCGTTAGCGGTGTGGTTATATTGAAGGCAGTTAGTGCACTGTTTAACTTGTTTGATGTAGGGTTTAACTTCTAATTTAGATGACGCTCCGAAGGAGATGTGTTTAGGGGCTACTGGATATTTATCTGATTTTTGGAAGTTTATGATGACTATTGGCGTGTTGGTTATTCTACCGTTCCTATTTGAGGTAATTCTCCTAGTGCTGGTTATTTTAGGTTGGAGGGTGTCTGTGTTAAGATTTGCTTCGTTACTGTATAATTCTAGGTCTTCCTCTGACTCTCTAGGGTTTACTCTGATTACTCCTCTAGTGTATAGTTGCCAGTTTGGGGTTTGGTGGGTTACTGTGTATTGAAAAATTTCCGTTATTTTTTTGGCTGCATTAAGTGAGTGTTGGTCCGGAAAGATGATTTGAAATCCTTTGTGAGCTTCCCTGATTTTATCGAAGTGTATTTTTTGTTTTTTAAACCATAGTCCTACTTAAGTACCTTACTTAGTGTGTTAATGGGGCCAGCCGCGCAGAAGTAGAGAGCGAACGTGACCATGGATGCAGGGATGGAAGGTGATGTGGGTGTTGTGTTTGAAGCGTCCAACTTCCGTTTTTTGGGGTTTGTTGTGGTTGCGGGCGAATCCGAAGTTTTGGTAGGAGAAGCGACTGTAGTTGGCTTTCCGAATTCGTGTGGGATGAGGGTTTCAGGTGTCCGATCGGAGGTGTTGTGGGCCTCCGATGGTGTGGGTGTCTCTGTGCAGTGGATGTCTGCCTGGGTGATTATACGTGTGTCGGCCATGTCTGTGGTTGTGCGTAGGTTGATGTAGTGTGTTTAGGTTTTGTTTGGGGGGAGGAGAGTGAGCTGAGCTTAAGAGGGGCTTTTGTGTGTAGAGTGGGTGACTGGGTGAGTGGTGTTTGGCTGGCTTCTGCGCTGTTTGGGATTGTTGGTGAGTTTGTTTATTTAGTTAGGAGATTTTTTGAGGGTTGGTGTTTTAAGTGGGCTTGGGGGTGAGTTACTTTTGCCTAAGTTTGAAAGGGTGTGTTTGGATAGTAACTAAGGGATTTGTGGGTTTGGTATTTTAAGTGGGCTTGTGTGTGATTGGTTTTAACCTAAATTGTATGGGTGTGTTGTGATAATTACCGAGGTGTTGCTCTTGGGCTGGCTATCAGTGGAACTGTGCTGGCTTCGGAGGCTTGCTGGGTGAGGTTGGCTTGGTGGCTGGATGGCTTGGGTTGCTTCGTAGGCTGAGGAGGTGTTGCTAGCTTGGAGTACAAACTGCGACTGAAATGCCACTTTCCTTAAAGACACAAACCTGATAGAAAAAATTTAGACCCTCCCAAACAAACTCAGCAAGTAACTTTAACATAAACAGCAAAATTATAGATTCGGATCGGGATCGAAATTCTCAGCGCGGATTGTCTTCTACGACGTCCGCGCCTCAAAATTCTATAGCGGATAGTCTACAATGACGTCCGCGCACTCAACCTATAGCGCGGATTGTCTACTCCGACGTCCGCGCCACAAACTCCTATACCCATACTCAGTAACTCTATAGCCGCTTAACCAGCCATCCACCATCAGCCATCCATAAATCATCCATAAATCAGCCGTACACAATAGAAGAACTCAATTATGTACTCCAAAATAGGAAAAAGGGAACAGCCCCAGGACCTAACCTCCTACCAAATATTAAAAAAACTCCCCCCTAAATTACTCCAGACACTACTCAAACTATATAACCTAATCTACATAAAAGGCCATGTACCAACCCCCTGGAAAGAGGCGCTAATCATACCTATTCCCAAACCCGGTAAACCAACCAACCAAGCTAACTCTTATAGACCAATCTCTCTTACTTCCAACCTTTGCAAAGTAATGGAATCCATGGCCAAAAATAGACTTCAACACTATCTATCTCAAAATAACATAATAAACTCAGATCAAAGCGGTTTCACTCCTGGCCGCTCCACCCTAGATAACCTCGCTCGTCTCGAACAGGATATTAAAACCGGTCAACTAAACAAACAATACACAACAGGCATCTTTCTGGACTTCTCTAAAGCCTTCGATATGGTATGGCATAACGGATTAATCCAAAAACTTAAAAAAATAGGACTTAAAGGTCAAATCGTAAACTACATCCAAAGCTTCCTCCAAAACCGCAAAATTACAGTGGGTATAGACCAGGCCTTGTCAGAGCAGTGTCCCCTGGAAAACGGCACCCCTCAAGGCAGCATTCTTAGCCCCACACTTTTTAACATAATGATAAACGACCTATTTGATGGCTTATCCCCCAAAATAAACACCTCAAAATTTGCGGATGACGGAGCCCTATGGATCCGCTCCAAAAGTATCTTAACATCTCAGGACTTACTACAAAAATCCCTAAACAAAATACAAAACTGGGCAGACAAATGGGGCTTCTCCCTAAACTCCGAAAAAACGACAGGAATAGTATTCAAACACAAAAATATGAGACGGGCCTCCCCTCTCCTCAAACTAAACAATAAACCAATCATATTTCAAAAGCAAACTAAATTCCTAGGTCTAATCTTCGACGAGCATCTCTCCTGGGATGCTCACGTCCAAAACCTAACCACCAGATGTAGCAAAGATCTAAACACACTAAGATGCCTAACCGGCTCCAACTGGGGAGCCTCTAAAGATACCCTCCTCAGCCTCTACACATCCCTAATCAGATCTAAACTAGACTACGGCTGTGCCATATACGATACCCTAAACGAAACCCTAACCAAAAAACTAGATTCAATACAATATCAAGCCCTCAAACTAGTAACACGTACTCAACATGGCACCTCCCTCACATCACTTCAGGCCCTTACAGGAGAAATGCCACTAAATTTACGTAGACAACACTTAACACTAAACTTCTGGGCAGCATCTCAATCAAACCCCCTTCTCCAAAACATGCTAAACCAAAACATACGTCCCCAAAACCAGGCACTAACTAGAAAACACCCTCTACTCACCCCAATATCCCAACGAATAATAAACTACCATAACGAACACCAAATAGGAAACCAACAACAAAACTGCAAACAATCAAACGTATTCACCCCAAAACTTAAAATCCCCAAAATAGACACATCCCTAGCCAACACAATAAACAAACAAACCGACCCAAACCTAGCTAAAAGCACATCACTAGCTTACATCCATCAAAAATGGCCAAATTGGTGTCACATATACACAGACGGATCCGCTGATCCGATCACAAATCACACAGGTTTCGGAGTCCATATAGCCCAACCAGTCAAAAATACTCAATCCTTCCGACTCCCAAACAACCAATCTATATTCACCGCAGAGCTCATGGGTATCGCCACGGCGCTCCACAGCCATCACACCAAAAACCAAAAAAAAATCTTAATACTCTCAGACTCACTAAGCGGACTTCAGGCCCTCCAAAACAAAAACACCAAAAACCGCCCCAAATTAATAAACCAAATTCTCAAAAGCGTAAACAAACTAACAGAGGCAGGCAAAAACATACAACTTATCTGGATACCAGCTCACGTAGGAATTTACGGGAATGAAAACGCAGACAGAGCCGCAAAACAATCCCTAAAAATACCAGACATAAGCCTTAAGCTACCAATATCTAAAGCAGAAATCAAAAGTATAAACAAACGTAAAATCACCCAAAAATGGCATAACCTCTATCAAAACACAAAAACCCAAATCCTAAAAACCCTCAAAAAACCCCTCACCAAACCAAAAATCCTCCATCCCTCCAAAAAAATCGATAGAATAATCACCAAACTCCAAACAGGACACACCAAACTAAATAACCACCTTCTAAAACTAAAAAAACACGCAAACGGGAAGTGCCCACACTGCACTCACCCAGAAACAATAGACCACGTACTACTACATTGCACCCACTACCTCACACAACGTACAACATTACAAACCAACCTAAATCCAAATAACGCTCTTACCTTAGAAGCAATCCTTAACCCCCAAAATAAAATAGAAAACTTCAAAGCCCTAGGCATTTACCTAACCAAAACAGAACTAATTAACCGTATTTAAAACTTCACTAAACCACCAACACTAAACATCCAAAAAACATCAACTCACCCCCACACACTCCCTTAGTCCCAACCACTCCCCCAAGGCATGTATTCCAAATCTCAAAATTTCAAAACTTTATATAAGCAACCACTAAACCCCCCTCCTTGGTTGCACTCCTCTCGCTACCACTTTTATACCACTAAATGGCCCGGCCGGGCCCGTGTGCGAAATACGCTCCAGTCGGAAAGCGCACGTAAAATCTCCTAATATAAGTAAGTAATCAGCCGACACAAACAAGCCCACTACCAATCACGCCGACACAAAGCCTTACCCCCACCACCCACCCCCGCGCTAGGCCCCCGTTTTCTAACTTAGGTTACTCATATTTATTCATTATTTCCCCCCCCCCTTGATTTGTTTTAATTTAATCTATCTATTAATAGTAGCTATACATCAGCTTAACTGATTACTTCTGTCACTCTATCTATCCTAGTAACTATAACCCAATAAACCTGGCTAATGTAGAACTTTACTATCTCTCTACGGCTCTCTATGGCCACTAAATCCTAAACCCCTCTTCTCATTACTTTATCCCCCTTCACTTACAGTTTTTTGGGCTAGACGTTTATATTTATTCCCACTATTCTATATTTTATAAGAACCGTCTGCCCCGAGTGCGAAATAGCCAGAGGCTGAAGCGCTCGTAAAATCTCCAAATATCTATCTATCTCTGCATCAATTCAAAAACTCCTGAATCCTCATCGACTCCTGAACACTTAGATTTTGACGTTGTCATCTTGATCATCAGAACCATCAAAGGCGGCAAAATACAGTAAGCAACTTTTCTCCCACTTTTCAATTCAGATGTAGACAAGTACAACACGTTTAGTAATGATTTAAAAAATTGTACGAGTTTCTTAGTGTCAATAATTAGTAGAACAGACGTAAAACAGACATACGAATGGACACGTTATAGACAACAATCCTATATATTTTAGTAACAATGATTAGTTGGAGTGACCAGTATATTTGCAAAAAATAGATTTATAAAAGTTCAGCTTATTAAGTACAATACACCCATCAAATAGAGCTGCATGTGTCAGGGACCCAATCTAGATAGCGCCCACACCTAGAACCGCTGCGCCGGAAGTAGGTAACGTTTCTAGCTCTTACGTCGAGTAACAGCCTCTCGTTATTAATTGTAGTCATCTTACTATTTGATCGTTTGTGCCACACAAAGCTATAAGTTCCGTAATAAAAATACGGAAAAATGAACAGATTAATCTCATGGACATGTATTCAAAAATGGTAGCATAACGAATGAAGTAATGTTTTAATTTCCGTTCCCATAATACTGTTTAGATGAAACACCGTTAGCAACTTGAATGGGAATAAACAGTGGTAGCTGTCTCTAGCCAAAGGATACTAGACTATACAAGAACAGTTTTAGCATCTCACACCGTCCCGACAGGCGCCAACCTCTCAAATATTGCACAACATATATTGATGGCGTAGTATGATATTAATATTACATTGTTTCTTGAATACTGTGCGAAGAATATTTTGTACGATGGCAAGATTCAAAACAAGTATCATTATCTTCTTTGCGAGGAATTTGGAAGTTGGAGTATTGAGAGAGGATAAGATCTGTGGATGAACAACATCACTTGCTTGATAATGGTGTTACAACATACACCTAAGCGTCGCTCCTAACTGTAATAAAGACGTTGTTCATCAATATATCTTATCTCTACTCAGTTTTCATTATCGCTAAAATTAGACAAAACTGTAAAAATGGTTTAACATGTGTGGTAGCACAGCTAGTCCCTGTAAAATTTTCATTTAAAAAAAATAAATAAAAAATCACAGCGCACAGGGAAATTGAGCGAGGCTCAATTCGAACGGTATTCCCATGTTATGTTATGTTTTTCTGAAAATGTACATGAAGCGGATTGGTCAAGAAGTTTATATGAAGACCACTCCGGAATACAATGATTCAAAAATGCATACATGATATTGTAAATATATCTAGATTTTTAGACAGGATAATGCATAGATAATATTCCAACAGTCAGATTAACCAGATTAAACAGATTCCTCTACGCTGGGCAAACACTGGTCTATGTAGAATCATATCGTTATCTGGGACTACGGGTTGACGAGCATCTAGATATGTGAAACTGTGAAAGAGTTGTACAATTCTGCCAGCCATGCTTTGTCTTATTCTGTTGGGTGTATGTCTTATTCTGTTTTTTATGAAACTGTATGAAAGTCTTGTTGAGCCGGTAATGATCTATGGCTCTGGTATATGAGGATAAAACATTAATCTAATCCACAATAGAGCCGGTAAATTATTTCTTGGTGTTAGTAACGGTACCTCCATGTATAGCCACTAATGGAGACATGGGTCTCTCCTCCCCGTTTGTTACATTACATGCTAATGTTTTTAGACTCCCCCAAGATTAATAACAGTACTTGTAACGCTTTGATGAAGAAAATGGTTACTATGTAAACGTTCATGGAGTACTAAAGTTGTTAAAATTGCCTGTAATCTTAATATTTATGATGTTATGAGTATTATGACTGTTCCAATGTCCCGAAAGAAGAAAATTGCCCATATTAAAAACGTTCTCGTAAACAAAGATGTACTGAGCTGGAGAACAGAGCTTTGGAACGATAAACATAACGTTAAGGGCAATACATTAAGAACTTTCATGATCGTAACGTTGTTGCTCCTTATGTTTTAAATACAGGGACCACCGTCGCATTTTAGCTAGTTTTAGATCTGGATCGAAACAGGACGATTTACAACCCCCCAAACCTTTTAGAAAATAGAATTTGCCCGCACTGTTTTAAAATTGTTCATTAAAGTTTGTCGAAAATGAATTTCACTTTATTAAATGTTATGTCCTTTATGATCTTAGAAGTATTTCACTTAGATAATGGTCATCTCTTTTGAAACACGTGACGCATTCATAAAATAACTTCCTCTGTAAGGTTCACACCCAATTGTCAGACATCCCATTTGGCAGGTGACCGAATCATCAGACAGACCAGTCAAGTGTGACCAGTGTATTCGCCTGGTCTAAACTACTAATTACTGTGCTGCTCTCGACTGTGGGCAGAGTAAGCTATTCACCACTCGTTAAGTGATACAGATTAACCAGATTCCTCTTCGCTGGGCAAACACTGGTCTATGTAGAATCATATCGTTATCTGGGACTACGGGTTGACGAGCATCTAGATATGTGAAACTGTGAAAGAGTTGTACAATTCTGCCAGCCATGCTTTGTCTTATTCTGTTGGGTGTATGTCTTATTCTGTTTTTTATGAAACTGTATGAAAGTCTTGTTGAGCCGGTAATGTTCTATGGCTCTGGTATATGAGGATAAAACGTTAATCTAATCCACAATAGAGCCGGTAAATTATTTCTTGGTGTTAGTAACGGTACCTCCATGTATAGCCACTAATGGAGACATGGGTCTCTCCTCCCCGTTTGTTACATTACATGCTAATGTTTTTAGACTACCCCAAGATTTAATAACAGTACTTGTAACGCTTTGATGAAGAAAATGGTTACTATGTAAAAGTTCATGGAGTACTAAAGTTGTTAAAATTGCCTGTAATCTTAATATTTATGATGTTATGAATATTATGACTGCTCCAATGTCCCGAAAGAAGAAAATTGCCCATATTAAAAACGTTCTCGTAAACAAAGATGAACTGAGCTGGAGAACAAAGCTTTGGAACGATAAACATAACGTTAAGGGCAATACATTAAGAACTTTCATGATCGTAACGTTGTTGCTCCTTATGTTTTAAATACAGGGACCACCGTCGCATTTTAGCTAGTTTTAGATCTGGATCGAAACAGGACGATTTACAACCCCCCAAACCTTTTAGAAAATAGAATCTGCCCGCACTGTTTTAAAATTGTTCATAAAAGTTTGTCGAAAATGAATTTCACTTTATTAAATGTTATGTCCTTTATGATCTTAGAAGTATTTCACTTAGATAATGGTCATCTCTTTTGAAACACGTGACGCATTCATAAAATAACTTCCTCTGTAAGGTTCACACCCAATTGTCAGACATCCCATTTGGCAGGTGACCGAATCATCAGACAGACCAGTCAAGTGTGACCAGTGTATTCGCCTGGTCTAAACTACTAATTACTGTGCTGCTCTCGACTGTGGGCAGAGTAAGCTATTCAAACTCGTTAAGTGATACAGATTAACCAAATTCCTCTTCGCTGGGCAAACACTGGTCTATGTAGAATCATATCGTTATCTGGGACTACGGGTTGACGAGCATCTAGATATGTGAAACTGTGAAAGAGTTGTACAATTCTGCCAGCCATGCTTTGTCTTATTCTGTTGGGTGTATGTCTTATTCTGTTTTTTATGAAACTGTATGAAAGTCTTGTTGAGCCGGTAATGTTCTATGGCTCTGGTATATGAGGATAAAACGTTAATCTAATCCAAAATAGAGCCGGTAAATTATTTCTTGGTGTTAGTAACGGTACCTCCATGTATAGCCACTTAGGGAGACATGGGTCTCTCCTCCCCGTTTGTTACATTACATGCTAATGTTTTTAGACTACCCAAAGATTTAATAACAGTACTTGTAATGCTTTGATGAAGAAAATGGTTACTATGTAAAAGTTCATGGAGTACTAAAGTTGTTAAAATTGCCTGTAATCTTAATATTTATGATGTTATGAATATTATGACTGCTCCAATGTCCCGAAAGAAGAAAATTGCCCATATTAAAAACGTTCTCGTAAACAAAGATGAACTGAGCTGGAGAACAGAGCTTTGGAACGATAAACATCAATGTTTAAAACTACTTTCAACTACTTGTTGCTGGCGTCATTTTATATTGATCAAACTGTTATTAAGATCTGTAAAACATAACGAAATACAAATTAGTTCATAACATCCTATAGTTGTCATAATGAAAATAGTATTAAAGCATTATTGTCACATGCAATAATTATACTGTTCGGTATCATTAGTAAACTTTGCAACCACATGTTATGTGAAACATTCTATAAGAGGTGAGGAAATTGAATGAAGCAGTGGTAAAATCTAACCATATATACAAAATTGTATATTTTGGAAATACCAACTATACAAAATTGTATATTTTGGAAATAACAAATATACAAAATTGTATATTTTGTATATATGGGTATTTTTTCTTGTGTGTTTGCCCTTCTCTATCTTTTCTGGTTAGATCAACTAACCCATGTGAGATAATGTACTCAACAATCTGTACATTGCCACCAACACAAGCGCAATGAAGAATGTTTCCACCTGAATCATCCACTGTTGACAAATTGCATCTTTTCTTCACCATTAGATCAAAGACGTTCTTGTGGCCATTCTCTGCTGCTAACATTATCGGTGTTTGCCCTTCTTTATCTTTTCTGGTTAGATCAACTGAGCCTTGTGAGATAATGTACTCAACAATCTGTACATTGCCACCAACACAAGCGCAATGAAGAATGTTTCTACCTGAATCATCTACTGTTGTCAAACTGCATCCTTTGTTCACCAGTAGATCAAAGACATTCTTGTGGCCATTCTCTGCTGCTACCATTATCGGTGTTACTCCATTGTTTCCACTGCTATCTTTGTCAGCTACGTTACGTGAAAGAATACGCTTAACAATCCGGACACTTCCACCATTAGATGCTACATGTAGGATGGTGTAGTTGTCATTATTGAGCACTGAAAGATCACAGTGTTTGTTGACAAGTAGATTAAACACTTTGCTCTCACCCTCTTGGGCTGCAACAATCACTGGTGTGTGTCCATTCTCATCGCGGCTGTTTATGTCAACTATCTCATGTAAGAGGAGATGTTCAACAATGTGTACATTGTCACCATAACAAGCAGCATGAAGGATGGTTCTGTCTTTGTGATCTGTAAGATTTAGATCACATCCTTTACCACAAAGGAGATCAAAGACTTTCTTTTGGCCTTGACATGCAGCAATCATCACTGGTGTTAGTCCGTCCTTATTTCTGCTGTTTATGTCAGCTATGTGATGTGAGAGTATGTACTCAACAATCTGTGCATTGTCACTAAAACAAGCAAAATGAAGTATGTTTCTACCTGAATCATCTACCATTGACATATTACAATGTTTGCTCACCAGTAGATCAAAGACTTTCTTCTGTCCAGTGAAAGCTGCTGTCATCACTGGTGTCACACCTGTCTCATTTCTGCTATCAATATCAACCATATTGCGACCCAGAAGATAGTCACAAGAAAGGATGTATTCAACAATTTTGACGTTACCACCTGAGGAACCTGCATGGAGAATGTTATTTCTATGATCATCCGTAACAGAAAGATCACATCCTTTTCTCACCAGTAGATCAAACACCTTCCTCTGACCATGCACTGCTGCTACCATCACTGGTGTGAGCCCGTTTTCACCTCTGCTCTCTATGTCAGCTAGATCACGTGAGAGAATGCAGTTAACAAAATTGACATTATCACTTGCACAAGCTGCATGCAGGATATTGTCACCCATGTTATCTACTACCAATAGGTCGCAACCTTTCCTGGCAAGTAGATCATACACTCTCTTATGGCCGTTTGCTGCTGCCTTCATAACTGCCGTTAGCCCGTCCGAAGATCGGCCGTCAATGTCAGCTATCTCACGTGAGAGAATGTCCTCAACAATCTTTACATTGTGACTACTACAGGCAGCATGAAGAATATTGGAACAATCATTGTCTTGCACATCTAGATTACATCCTTCACTTACAAGTAGATCAAATACTTCCTTATGCCCTTCTTCAGCTGCAAGCATCACAGGTGTTGCTCCGTCCTCATCCTTACTCTCAATGTCAGCTACACCACATAACAAAATGTGTTTAACTAACATTGCATCATTGCTAAGACATGCTGCATGGAGGATGTTGCCACCACTATCACTGACATCAAACTGATGACATTCATTGCTGACAAGTAGATCAAACACTTTCTTATTGCCTTCTTGTGCCGCCACCATCAATGGTGTATTTCCATCATAACCTTTACTGTTTATATCAACTAATTTCTGTGAAAGAATGTCCGTAACAATACTGACATTATCACTGTAACAAGCATTATGCAGGATGTTGTCCCCCAGATCATCAACAACAGATAGGTCACATCCGTTCCTTACAAGTTCATCGAACACTTCTGTTTGTCCTTTCATTGCTGCCACCATAACTGGCGTTAACCCATCCTCACCTCTCCTCTCAATGTCAACTATCTTATTTGAAAGAAGATATCTGACTATATACACGCTGTCACCACAGCAGGCAGCATGAAGAACGGTGTTATCTAGTTCATCCACTACCGATAGGTTGCATCCTTTTCCCCGAAGGAAATCAAACACTTCCTTCTGTCCATTCTTTGTCGCCACCATCACTGGGGTCACCCCATCCTCACCTCTACTCTCTATATCAGCTACCTTTTGTCGCAAAAGATACCTTACTATATACACACTGCTACCGGAGCAAGCATAATGAAGCATATTGTTCCCCTTATAATCCATTGCCGAAAGATTACAACCTTCTTTTACAAGTAAGACAAACACTTTCTTATTTCCAGTGCTGGCTGCTTTCATCAGTGGAGTTCTACCCAAAATGTCCTTTTTCTCAAAACTTATCTCAACGTTTGAAACTAACTCTTTGACAATGGCAGCATTGAGTCCATAACATGCCAAATGAAGTATGTTGTCACCATTATCTAACACTAATGAAAGGTCGCACTGTTCTTTCAGTAAAGTATTAAATACCTGTGTATGTCCTCGACATACTGCAATCATCACTGGAGTCCATCCTCCAGGGCTTATGTTGTTTATATCCACACTACCTTTGGATATCAGTTCTTTCACTCGATTATTTTTTCCTTCAAGGCAAGCTTTATTGAACAGTTGATTTGAATATGTTGGATTACTGGTCTCATGTCGAAATTGCGGCGTTGATGTCATGGGGTGTTCATTACCTGCAATAACATGAATGTTGTTATTAGTAGTTGATAATTGTAATACATTAGTCGTTCATAACGACAGAACAACATACACTTATTCTTGTGGATGTTCAAAAAGCTGTTTATGAATATTTGACCACTTCTGTTCATTACAAATGACTATTGTTATTACAAGCTAATAGTTTTACAATCGATCAAATTATTGATGCCCCACAATTGTCCCTGAACCAAATTCAGGACATCACTGACAGATACAATTATATAAAAACTACATAAGAAAAACAAATAAATAAATACAATGTTAACCATTGGAGCCATGTGGATATTCTTTCAGAAAACGTTAACATCTATAAGCATAACATTGTAGGATAATACATTTACAAATCAAATCAAGTTTATTGCAATACTTGTATGAGAATAGTATCACAATAATAATTGTTAATATTATGGTATTGTCACACATGATATCCCAAATATTGACTAGCAAGCATTCTTTTCTTGAAAAGATAAGCCATACATTTAAAGCTTTGTAGAAACTAAATTGAGAATGGTTGTAGCATGTGCTTCAACGTAATACGGTCACTGCTCTATGTGCTGGTTGATGACTTTGATACTGAATTGAGGGCAAATCCTTAAAAAGATTGGAGACTAACTTACGTAGTTCTCTTGAACTGTCTGTGGCAGGCAGTCCGTCTCGTGTCACATGAAGTACATTCTTTGTGTAGTTTTCTGAAATGTTAAACACACATAAGTATGTTTTGTCCATATCATAATGTTAGCATACGACTTCCTCAAAACTTGGGACTAACAGTGTAAAAGTATGCTCCAAACAAATACATTCGTAATGTTTGTAGTTTGATGAGTTTGATACTGCAAAAAGGCATAACTTAAACATATTGGTGATTAGCTTAATAAGTTTCCATCCAGCAGGAGGTGAATGAAAGTCTTAAACAGTTCCTCAAGTTAAGAGTATGGATGGTATAAACATTTTCTTTGTTCATACTATAATGTAAGCATACGACTTACACAGAACTGTAACTAAACATATTGGAGAATGTCAACACTTCAGTCCTTTATTGGAAAAAATACATGAAAAATAACCTCTGGTTGAAACAGATGATTCAACAGCTGCATTCTGATATGTATATGAAAGTATGTATTTCTCTTTCCAAATAGCGACATTTATCATTTTTAAAATATAGAGTTGCCGTTCCTACAATATATGGGGTATATATATTTTTAAGGCAGAATACGAGATATTCGTCACATTATACGTTAGGAAAACAGAGCCTTGAGCCTGGCACTTCTTAGTGATACTTTATGTACTCATTTAGTCTCATGCTAGGAAGTAACACAAAGTGCGATTGTAACTGAGTCTCAAACCATGCTGCTTCAAACATTATCTTCAAAAACACAACAGAGTTTGTGTTTGGTTGTATCTTGTAACAATCTAAAGGTAACAGGAATATGAATTGAACTCATATGGATGTTTGGACCTATTTATCGATTTATCATAAGGATACCAAATGGCCAGTATCTTACCAATATATTTTCCTATCCCAGTAGTATGGCTGTTTTCAATACTTGCATCACCAGTTCCGCCTAGAACATTCAATTGTCCTGAAAAAAAACCCATGCAATTTGCTATAGAAGCTTAGTGTGGGTCATCATAATATTGATAGTGTATTCTTGACTACATGATGCACTACATATGAAAAAATTCAGTACACACGACAAATTGTCAAATATACAAAATGTTTTGGTCACTAGTTTACATTTCAAGTAGATGTCCAATAACACAGTGTTTGTAATTATTGGAAGTACCACTACAGCTACCAGTACTACAAGTACTACTACACTACTGATAATAATGACAATACTGCATGTATCGAGCACATGTAATGAGTGCACTGTTATCATGAATCACTTTTCCATTTAGATAGGATTTGCCAAAAAACTCCCAAAAGATTTTTGAACACACAATTCAATTTAGAAAGTGGTCAAATGTAACAAATGTTATATTTGAGATAACACTTTCTTAGTAAAGAATAACTTCGGGCTTTCCTCACACATTAAGCTGACATGTACACGCCGTGATATAACTGAAATACTGTTAAAAGCGGCGTTAAACCCAACTCACTCACTCACTAGTAAAGTACAGATATAAATCTTGTTGATTGGTTGATTGAATTGACATAAATGTCTGATACTGATCCTCTCTTTGGTACATTTATGACTCGTAATACTCTTACTGAAATGATGATGTGTACTGTTTCCCATGAAATCCAACGGTTCTGTGGTATCTCAGTTGGTGACTTAAGTGACATTATCAAGACAATCTACTCAGCCTTAATTTACTACAGGAAATGAAGTTGATCTTATATCCAGGTACAAATACTGTAAACATTTTGAATGTGGTTATTTACCTATAGCTTTGGGTCTCCTTCTCTGTTTGGTTTGCGCAGCCTTAGATTGGAGAACTCCTTTTCGTGAAGCCATGATGCAGAACTCGAAACCACAGGATGAAAAGCGGAACAGTGCTGAAAGAGACATAATAGACAAGTTATGTTTTAGAGTGTCAGCGTTATCTCCATTTGACAATTCAATTTGAGCCGATATATCAAGTATTTGTTCGTCTGCCATTCGTCCGTTAGCACTTAACTAAATGCTTTTTCTCCTCCATAGTGAGTGAGTGAGTGAGTGAGTATGGATTTACGCCGCTTTAAGCAATATTCCAGCAATATCACGGTGGGGGACACCAGAAATGGGCTTCACACATTGTGCCCATGTCGGGAATAGAACCCGGGTCTTCGGCGTGACGAGCGAACGCTTTGACCACTAGGCTACCCGACCGCCCCGCATTTAAAGTAAAGACTACAACCATCTTGATATCTATGTCTTTCAAAAACGTTGAAAGTCTTCATTACATTGTAGCAAGTATTGTTTGACATGTCAAACAATGTGAACCTGAAACACAGACAATCTGTGCAAATTGGCAGTTTGGTGGTCTAAGAAAGCAAATCACTTCCCAATGTAGACAGCGCATTTGAGGTAAATGTTTTTTTTATTGTTAATTGACTGGTATTGAAACACATATACTAGTATTACATTTTGTTTAAAGATTTGTTTCCTTCACTACTAACACACACGTATTTGTTTGCATTGGTTTATTTTAGTATGGAATACATTATTCTATCATATCATCCCTTTTAACAATGTCAAATTTTGAAAATGGCCCCAATTGTGCCTGTGAGGAGGTTTTTGTATGAGTGCAGCGTCTGCATGATGATGGCTGTGATCAAGTTTCTGAGGGATAGATGCACCTATTGCACCTCAGATGATGTTGTCCCAGAATGCGTGACATCAGGTGATGCTGTCTCTGTTTATTAAAATGTGACAGTTTGGTCATTCTCTGTGCATGTCTCAGGTTATGGTTTTAGAGCCGAAATTGCCACTATCAGATTATTGTCACTCTGTAATATGGAATTGGAAATTGGAAGCTGTCAAACCAATGTTTGTCATCTGAACCTAAAAGTCAGCTAAAGGAATCCCCAAGATTCCTCTATGATGACAGGAGTCCTTCTGAAACTGGACAAACGTCAGTCCTACAGTCCTTCAGTTATTGGTATCGAAATCAGCTAATCAAGCAGCCAGTATGTCTTTCACATCACAGGTGGCTCTTTTGACAGAGCCTTAATGTCTGGACTTGCGATGTAACAATCAGGTCAAATTTGCTTCTACTCGTAATGATTGTAATCACATGTGCAGTGAATTTTGAACCATCGTCGCTCTGAATGCATTTTTGATGTTTGATGGTCATTAGGAAAATATCCAAGAACTGGTAATTGACTGATGTAGCTCATTTGGAGGGTAGAGGTCAGAGCCCACAGAATTTATTAAGATGATCCTGGTAGGTCATGATCCACCTATGATGTCTTTGTCACATCGAATGCATATCAACCAGATCAACATGAGCAGGGACATTTCTTTGACAGGATTGCTCTACAGAAATACCAAATGGATGAAATGACAAAATAAAAGAGTTGGCAGTCTTTCCAAATAACTCACTGTCAACGTCAATGTGTTTCAATGTGTCTCTTTCAGCACCACAAAGACGTTAGCACAGGCATAGACACAAGAAAGGACAATACATTCATCTGGAATAGTTGTTGTCTCTCTTTCAGGAACCGATTGGGTTGCACAAAAGGAGAACATGACTATACTCTGTGACATTGAAAGAAATTTAACTCCATCTCTATATAAAATCTGTACAAAGAGAGAGAGAGAGAGAGAGAGAGAGAGAGAGAGAGAGAGAGAAACAAACCACAAGGCATCATAGTGATTATATTCTATGTTGGCGAATACTGACAATATTGGCTACCACACTGTCATTGAGTAGCACGGTAGGGTCTAATAGTCATCATAATGTTATCAATGTTAGTGGATGCATGGTAATCACTCCTTTGCCTCTGTCGGCAGGTGGGCAGCAAAGTTCATGAAGATGATCCTGCGACCACTGAGGCAATTGTTGACCCTCAAATACATGCATCGTTTTGAAGCAAACCCAGCTGATGTTGTTCACAATCATTCATTTGTATATTAATATAGAATATCAAGGCATCATTTGCTGTCTATTAGATGATGGTAAGGTCCCGAATTGTTATGATTAGACCAGTCTCTTGACTGGCCTTACGTACGTGGCCTTGAATGTTACTAAACTATGATGATTAATGTGGCCACTGACGGACATTATTTCAGATGCACCGATACTGATCTATATAACCCAAGGCTGCCCGGACACTGAGTGGACAACGGTTCAAACAACAACATGCAGCATTGTCTATTAGCCTTTGATCTCAATTCCAAACATGATAGAACATTAGTTACATTGAATGAAAACAGCTATATGACTATATAAGTTTGAGTCTGAATAAAGCTCACCGTATTATAATAAAATTCAAATATACAAACTGATAAAGACTTACCTACACCACACCTCCTTAGCATGTACATGTACCACACTGGAGATAGAAACGGCAGGTGGTGACTGCATATGTGACCTGCATAGCCTATCTATTCAGCCAAGATATTGATTGGCAGTCATGTTGTTTACCGTTGACATAAATCTCCTACTGAGCGTCCTCTCAACGAAGAATTGTGTTTGGTGTCGTGTAGGGGTTGGTGTGGATTGGGTGGTGGTTCATGTGACAACGTACGGTGCTATTTGTTGACTGTTGTGCGGCGTCTTTGATCTCGGGTCGATATATTTTGATTCAGTGAAGAGGATACATGTGTAGACTTTTCTTGACAAATCGTGTGAAGTTGATTAGAAATCTACTTTTATATATCTATGGTAAAATGTTCACTCGCTGCACACTGTTTTTACGTTTATTATTGCACATATACGATGCTGCTACCCAAACAAAAAAACGAAACACCTTTAGCTTGATATAAATATGCCTGTCTAAAGAGAACGTGTAACCACCAACGCAAACATGTTAAGTCAATCAAGTACTATTATTGACCGCACTGAACTATGATAAATTTCGTCACGTATTCAGAATGACTTTTGCTAATAGTTATCTTCGAAGCCCCACACGACCACCGTGCACCCTAGCAACAAAACATAGCAACATGTATACCCCCTGTGCAGCACACTGGGAGAAAATCAATACACATGTTTATCTTGGCCATAAGGAAGTATGTTCAACTGCGGTTAGTTAAAGGCGCAAAGCAACCACATTGGAAGAAAAATATACTCTAGATAATAGTCAATAAATTACGTACGTGAAAAACACTAACTTTAGGGACATTTTGATTAACTTTCCATTCCACAAAAATATAACAGTAACAACGCCTTTAAACTCTATATTTTCTAACTGGGGCAGGTTGATCTTAGCCAAGTGCTGCTTATCGTGTTGTGAGTCAACCTTGATATTATGAATTTCATCCAGTAAAAAAGGTTACACTAAGTCTGATATAATTTATGATTTAATGTCATTTACATTGAAACATTATTTATATCTTGGCCGAGTAAATAAATCATTATACAGGAATTTCGTATCTGCAGTAATATTTTCCATATATTACTAACATCACAAACTTTGAGTATTTTAGTGGCATTCTGATAGTATTACTATACTCACGATCAGAAGAAACTATAAAATATATAGTGAGTGAGTGAGTGAGGTTTTACGCCGCTTTTAACAATATTCCCGCAATATCACGGCCGGGGACACCAGAAATGGGCTTCACACATTGTACCCATGTCGGGAATCGAACCCGGGTCTTCGGCGTGACGAGCGAACGCTTTAACCACTAGGCTACCCGACCGCCCCATAAAATATATAGAGATACATATAATATTCAATTCTTGTGGATTCATATATGAACATATAACATATATATTTAATACATAACTATGTCCTGTTGCAACACCTGTCTCCAGAAACCTTACGCAACCATTGCTAAGACATCAAAGGAATTGTAATCTCTTTAACATTTTAACATAAAGATGATCTCCAAACACATGTAAAGCTATATCACCTAAATGATAGAGATATCCCAAGTTGCCCAACTGTTCCTCAAGGGGCACAAATACTCACTTGTAGGGTAAGTCCTATCAAACGGATGGAGTTGAAATGAGATCTGGGGCGTGGCAGGCCTAACAAAACAACATCTAGACAAGATCGAAGCATTACTTTAATTGCACTACGCAATACATCTAGACCTGCTCCTGTTGTCAATAGAGATTTCGGAACAGTATCTGGTATGCGAATTTCAATATCTGGGGTTAAGAACTGAGAGCAAGGCATCCTGTGAAGGGTGTGACCCTAGCAGCTTACCATAGGCGGCAAAGATTGGTGTCGGCTAGGCAACACCAGTTACGGGTCCACGAATATAATTACCTACAGACAGCTCATATTCATACCCCCCTACAAAATGTCATTTTGCCAATATACCTCAATTGTTTACAGCCGATCAAGGTTTTGTCTTCAATTCAAAGATGGCTGAGAACGTAGTTGAGGTGAGCTACAATGCTTGACCACGATCGGTATGGTGGCGGTAGTGTCAAGCTGTTCAGCAGTATCACACATGACATGAAAAACTGATTTAATTATTGTGATTTTCATTTGAATGGCAGTGATATGTGCATCCTGTCATTTTTCGTTTCACTAGAATTGAACTGCAAGACGACATCATGCCGAGGTCGTCACAAAGTATCTCCAACGAGAAGACATGCGGACATGGCCTGACCAGCTACGTGCCCAGTCGTATCTCCAATAGAGTATCTGTGTATCTGTGTGTGCCTTTCTCAGGTGGAGATTGTACTCAAGAGGCCAAGCACCCGCCAACCTGGCACAGCTTAGGAAAAATCTTCATGTGAAATGGCGGGCGATATCAGGAAGACCTTAGGCAAGTTAAGCATCAGCGTGTCACTAAGGTGTCGAGCATGTATCGCCCAACATGGTGTACACACCAGATATTGATCTACATGCACGAAATTGGTTTTACAAAAATTTATCATCATTCCACCTTCACTACCATTTCACCAGTTACCTGATTTGTTTTGTGGGAATATTGATCAACTTTTATGCTACATACTTACTCAAAATCAATCTTTACTACCAAAACATCAGATAAGACATTAGAACTACTCATTGAAAAAGATATTTATCATTTCACAACTATAAATGTACAGTGAACATAGACTGTGGTCCTACCGCTAATCGAAGAACAACACAATGAATCCTCAAAGAAGAGCTCAACACAATAGATCTACGACTAACAGGACACATTCTTCGAGTCAAAAACGAAACACGAGTCATTCTTATGCTTGACCGATCACAAGTTAAAGCTTTCTGTGTCATAATTGCTCAAAACCATTCCTGACTGCAAAAGTGCTGAATAATCACGGTATAATATATACTCCGGAAACTCAGCATCTATCCAAAGTTGTGGTGGGGAAGACGGGTGCGCGGACAAGCTAAAATGGGCAAGTCTGAGCATATCCCCGATGATCAAGAAGAAAATAACAATCCAGTATATCATTTCATCAAAATTGACAATTTGAAGGTGGAAAAATAATTAAAGCGTTCCATCAAACAGGGCCTTTGTACCAAGTTGTACCAAATTAAGTTAACTGGATGCCGACTCCCTACTCCAGGACATAAGACAACGAGCACCCTTATGCTTAGCAACTTCTGATTCATTGCATATAGCAACGTTTCGGAGTGACAACAACCAGGTGATGAGAGGAATAAATGCATGACATATTGTGATAAGCAGCAGATATAGGTACAGGTACAGGTAATATATGACAAGTAGCATACAGATAACTGAATCAAGCCAAATGTACAGTAAGAATAACAAATATCACACAGGTAATGAAGCACGCGAGTAATAAAGCCACAGTTAGGATTAATGGATTAAACAGTTGTGACAAGCTGAGTGGATCCTAATTAACATTGTCTGTTGCTGTATTAGATTTGCATAGGCAGACGAGATTTAATACACTTGATCTTTGTTGATCAAAGGTTTGTAACAGTGGATTTCAAAAGCTTCTGAGTTTTCTTTGGATGAAATCTTGATGTTGGATAAATAATTATACGTCAGGATCCACAGAATACCTAACCTTACTAGAGAGTCTAGATAAGCGACCTGGTTTCACGTTCTGTCTGTGTGAGACTTAAGACTTGGTTTATCTATAGCGCAAGGCTTCAAAAATGTACCCCAGTCTCATTGTGACATCCAGATATTGAGGCATAATGTGACATGTGTAGCCCCGAGAAAAAAGCCTTGATACTACCTGTTACACCAGTTATAACATGGGAGATTATATTGTAGCGGGAAGATCAACAGCCGGTATTGCTACGTGCTGCACTAGGATTATTTGAACTACACTGGCCTTGTAGAATGTTATTAAACTTTAATTATTTATGTGATCATTTACGAATATTATTTCAAATTTATCGATACTGAACCCACAGATCCCTGGTTGCCTGGACACATTGAACTTTGTACCGTTGAGATAACTCAACGTTGATATCGTTTAACAGAGGTGGTTGGTGCTTCATGCCACAACGTACATCACTATCCTTTGTCCATTAGACATATAAGATTAAATAACAACCGTTATGTAAACATATATATTCGACTCTGATTTAAGTTCACAGTATCAAATTCAAATGTAAACATACACACTAACACAACTTACCTCCAGCACGCCTCCGTGTTTACTGCGCAGTGGGCAAGACCTACAGGTAGTGACTCCACAGTCACCTGCATAGCCTATCTACTAAACTAAAATCATTGAGGAAGGTAACTCACCCGACGGTCACGTGACTGGGAACAAGGATATAGTAGTGGTGTAGAAGCCGCGTTAGTGGTGGGTTTTGAAACTGGCCTGGGTCATCTTTGCTGAATTTTCCATGGCGACATCTTTTTTAACTGCTTTATTTATGACCCCCTTATATTACCTTTCTCAACGGCATAGCCTCTCTGTGTCCTCGCCCTGTCATCTAAGGTACAAATACATTCATCTGTCGCTGAGCGTGACACAACAGGGGTATTAGCTCTAGTCTAATGCAGATAACTAAACTAATATCTAAAAAAACTTTACTGGTACGGGTAGTTTTATTTTTGGGCACATTGAGATATTTTCCTTTCGCATTAAAACATTTAACTTACATAGTTCATATATTCATTAACTTACACATTTCAGATCCTGTTTAAGTGCATGGAATGTCAGATAAGTGATAGTATAGTTCAATAGAAGCTGAAAATGTAAAATCGTGGCAAGTTGCTGCGTCCGCGCCATTCTGCATGTATACAACGGTGGCATGACAATTGAATGTTATCAGTCAACAGTAAAAAGCCCGAGAACATGACAAGGTTCACTCCTGAACAATGAGAAAGCGCAATTGGTAGGGTTAAGGTGTGGGCAAGTTACACGCACGTCGTAGAATCATGCACTGTTCAAAATACAACTATCACCAAGTTTATGTAGCGTTAGTGGATGACTGTCAGAACTGACAGGCCACTGAGGACAGATATCACCGCACGTCATGTGCACTGACTGCTTGGGCGTGTCATCAGTTGTCACACAATACGTCGCTGGCTTCGAGAGCATGGTATCAAGGAGAGAGAATCCAGGGCAATTTCTGATGACGTCATTAGATGCCTAAAGAACTCTGTACGACGTCGTGTGAATGCCTGTATGTTGGCACCCGGAGTCACACACATTGACGAACTGGCATCTATTTAGTGACAATAATGTTAACTCTCATGTCGTCCTGGGTGTAACATGGGAAATCGACCATTTACTGTGTGGGATCTGCGATGTTGACAATAGTGTGTGTTTAACAGAGTTAATGTTACCTTAAATTAAAATACTAGCTTCTGGTTGGTTAAGGAGTGGGCAATTATTTAGACTGGTGTGCACGCCCTACTAGTGTGACAGTTCCGCCAGTAGGACAGGGTACTAGTTTACAGTCCATTTAGCCCGCTGACAAATCAATCTGAACGCATCTTAGGTAACTTATCTGCATAAAGATCGTTGAGTTTTCATAACTCGCCTTTTGCGTCGTCTGCTACGAGTACTGCTACCTCCGTGAAACTGAAACTATAAAAGAATGTCAGTAAGTTTAATTCGCGTACAACCGATCTCGAGGGGTATATAGTGTGATGTACCCAGAGCCGTCTAACTCTTATTACATCTGATTCTATATGATAACGCTTTCGTAAAACAGCAGTAGCATCAACATGTGCTTTGTGCTCTGTTTTAATCCTTTTACACTTTCATGTATCGCTACATGGCTGATATAATACTTATGCGACGTTAGATTTTAACTCACCCATTCATGAACGTCAGTTTAGGCTCCAATACCGACTCTCTGAAAGTGGACTATTATAGGCTTGTTCATACAAGCCTAGTAATGACTCCTTGCCGGACCAGTATTGGGTCCGTACAGAGCGGAAGTAGAGTGTCAGTGCATTGTGCGAAAATGTAGTTTGTTTGATTATTTTTTAATGCCGCATTCAGGAATATTCTAGCTATATGACGGCTGTCTGTAAATAATCGTGTCTAGACCAGACAATCCAGTGACTGCCATCATGAGGGGCGATCTACGCAATTGAGATTCGATAGCGTGCATTGACCAAGTCACCGAGGCAGATCACCCGATCCCGTTAGTCGCCTCTTGCGACAAGAACCGTTGCAGAAGACAAGTTGTAACCCGGATCTTCATTGGGCGAGAGAGACTTGAAGATTATAAGCCAAAAATTACATTGCTGCAGGCTGTTTATCTTGTAACCAAATTCTGGGACATAGTTATAAATGGAAAAAAAATCGGTTTTTGTAGAGCGTAGCTGAAAATAATATCAAATCCCGATACAAAATTCCAGCCCCCGACAATGTCAAATGGTCGGTCCCTAAGCATCTTCCCGAGGCAAAACTGTCCACTAGCCTTTTTATCAAAGTCTCCACTGGACACGCTTGCGTCCGGAAGATGATCCCTAAGTGACGCAACTCTTCTCAGAGAATTTTCGGCGCCTTGGGTGTCGGGATGAAGAATTGACAATTTTAATGACATATTAACTTATGGACATCTTGATGTCTACTTTTAAAGGTAATGCATGGGGTGAACCGAGCCCATGCTGGGTATATAGTAAAGGAAATATGTCCTTGTCAACATTCAAATCATGTCAAATAGGCTATTTATAATATAAATGTCACAAACTATTTGCATGTCGTTTTAAAGAAACGGAGGTGTCAAAGTGTAAATCCCCTGAGACACTTCAACATTCGCAGCGGGACAAGAAGATCACTATGCTACCCTTCCGGTAGTAGACAGTGAATGGGTACCCGGTAGGCCTGTTAGGCTTCTAGCCCCTCACAGGCATGGGGTGTATATACTCCTCAGGAAGCTGAGAATGAGTCTCGAGATGAGAAATCGAGTGGCAGTTGGTCGAGGTAATAATGTAGCACTTTGAGCATGGATAGTTGACATAACTCAGAGCTTAGTGAGTTAATTATTATTATGGTCATCGCTTATTTACTGCATCAATTTTCATGGCGCACAGTGTACAATCAACAGCATCTACATTCCCCATCTAAATGCATTGCGCGTGGACTCGTGAAGATTCGGGGTAGAATCGGTCTTCAGCAAACCATAGGCGACTATGCTCTCTCTCTCTCTCTCTCTCTCTCTCTCTCTCTCTCTCTCTCTCTCTCTCTCTCTCTCTCTCTCTCTCTCTCTTCATTGGTACTAATTTTCAGGCACACCATAGTTATGAGTATCTGTCTCTGAGTGTAAGAACACTGACACTGGTACACATACTAATATGGGGAAATTGCTGTACGAATTGTACACTAATATAGTACAACGATCGCCATATATACACTTTTCAGGCTTTCATTAAGCTACATAACTAAAGATTACGAATTTCTATATCTTTCACAACATCCAGGTGTCAGCGGTTTAGCGGTTGTATCCATTGAAGATGGTGTTTCTTAAGAATTGCATTCAAGTAGGCTGTTATCTGTCCAAACTGACCCTTATTGTACAGTCGGACTGACCATGTGTGCCGACCCTGTGACGGACGTAAACACACTAATCACTGGTTATCTGAGGGATTTACCTTTGCGTCCGCCTGGCCAGGTAGACGTGCGTAATGGTCCACTGGCTCTCAGCTGGGGTGACTGGTCAGTCGCATATCTGAAACATTTGCGCCGGTCAGTTAATGCAATGAATTTACTTTAAGAATATGCATATTAATTTACGGTTATAAGATGACAGGACGTTGGTGTTGTAAGAAAACTATGACACTGCATTAAATATCATTCATACACGATCGTCTTTAATTGGGTGAAATCAAACAATTTATGCACTTTTGTGTCTTTATTCTCCGTCGGTCTATAAACTGTTTTCTGTTTCGTTGGTGTGTCTTCTCACTGTGCACACAACTGTTTTACGGCGTTCAATTGTTACTCAAAGCGCCTGTAAATATGTTTCTGTCAAGAACACAAACAGTGCTCGGGAGAATTTGTTTCGTTTCTATCGTCAGAGTATGCTTACTTCTTATGAAAGCTGAGTGCAACATTTCAAACATTTTGAAAATACACAATAACTGTAAGAGTGTAATGTGGGAATTTACCGATTTAATGTTTTATTTTATATGGTGTAGGCGCGAGTTTAGATTAAAGTACTGTCGGAAATGGTAAAAATCTGCATTTTTGCTGTTAAAATAGGATATAATTGTTTTGTTATTGAAATACCGAGTAACTACCGATCGCTCTACCTGTGGTTCGAAGTATTTCAATCAAAAGGAGTCCTATCGACAAGTTTACAGGAGACAAATTCGAACGAAAACAGGAAGTCCAATGATGACAGTCTGAAACGGACTATAGAAATATGCAAACGTGACTCCGTTATAACGACAATAATATAGTTTTCATAAAACAGAAAATTCTAGATATGCATCTTCTTAAAAGACAAAATTACCCTGCGTTGTTTTTGTAACATAGCTCCCATGATGCATGTTACATTACACTTGCATAGCCATAACCACGGTACACGATATAGAGTCTGTACTAGGAAATGTATACACGTTTGTTACACTTTAGAGAAATAGAGGGAAATTGTTTATTAATTTTGGTAGGATGAATTACCGAACTGCCCATGCTATGGGGTTTTCAATTCATACCATCAAGTCTACGTTATGGTAAGAAAACAAAACAGGTATAGGGGTGGTCTCAAAAACAAAGCTGGGAAGTAAAAGGATATCAGTCAGCTTTGATACAGGGTGATAAGGCTATAATGTACAAGCTTTATGAGCAGAATGTAACCCTGACTTGTAGTAGAGTTTGGGAGGAATTAAAGATGCAATTAATGTTTCCCGGACTGCACTATTGCTCTCCAAGAGATGAGATATCGATCCTGTCTATGAGGTCACATTATCTCCGAACCATTCATAACTATCACATTCAGGGCGTCCAGATAATTTACCTTGATGCATCATTCCACTGACTATACGTGGCTTTCGGCAGATGGACAAAAAGCACCCATGGTACTATCAGGTAAAGGTAATCGTGTCATTGTTTTACACGCTGCAACCCATGATATGGGGCTTATTGATGGACGTGTGCTCGTTTTCCAGCCGAAAAAGAAAACATGTGATATTATAAGGAAATTATAGGAGGTGATGTGTTCTTAGACTGGTTGGAACATCAGCTTCTGCCCATTTTAAACGACGCCAGTGTTATTGTCATGGATAACGCATGTTAATATAACGTCCGGGAATCAGAT